ACACACACACACACACACACACACACACACACACACACACACACACACACACACACACACACACACACACACACACACACACACACACGCACGCATACGCATACACACACAGACACACACACACACGCACACACAGACAAACGCACAGAGAGAGAAACATGTACACACACACACACACACACACACACACACACACACACACACACACAGAGGGAGAGATAGAAACATGTACACAGAGACATACACACATAGAGAGAGAGAAACATGTGAGTAAAGGCAACCACTTCTCCCAAAGGCAAGGAGTCTAAAATTCTCTAAATGCGTCAGTTAGTTAAACGCAATGCCCTTTTTTTCGCCCGGGGGGTTAAACCTCCTAACGAGTCAATGGAAGTGGAAGTACAGCCAAAAAATCCATCCCTGTCATGCAACGCAGCAACGCAGCGTCGTGGAGCTCAATATAGTGAATATACAACAAACATCAAATAAAAAAGCCAAAAAAACAAAATTCTGATCCTTCAGTGAAAGTGCGACGAAATGCTGTCAAAATCACCCATTTGTTTCTTCCTTTTTTGTTTTTTCCCCTAACAGTCACAGAGCCGCTTTGCGATTTGTGTTTTTTTTTGGGCGAACACAGAACACACCCATACAGCCTTGCTTGCTAGCATTACGGTCATCATCGTTGTATCTGTATCTAGACTTAAAACTGGCCCAAATGCAGCGATCATCATGACAGGACGTTCTATTCGGGAGAAGACGGTACGATAGCTCTCCATTGACCCTGCTAGATGTGGCTACCGGTAGGGTCATGCCAGCGATAGCTACGGACTTCAAACGAACATAAGGCACCCCCATCCTGAGTGTACATAAGCTATTTTCCCGGCCAAATACAGTCATACCTTAAGTGTACATAAGCTGTTTTCCCGGCCAAATATAGGCATGATGAAAGTGCGTTGCGTTCAGGGGGATAGGGTGGTCTCAGGACCGTAGTGGCAGTCATGCCAGCGGCGGCTAGCTTTCATATACGGTATACATATTGGAGAGCGGAGGAGAGAGGAGAGAGGAGAGAGAGGAGGCGCAGGAAAGAGGAGGAGAGCGTAAAGAAAGGAGGGGGATCAGGAGAGCAGAGGCGAGAGCAGGAGAGTGGAGGAGAGCGGAGAGAGAGGAGAGCAGAGGAGAGCGGAGGAGGGCCGAGGAGAGCGGGGAGTGAGGAGAGCGGAGGACAGCAAAGAAGAGAGGAGAGGAGACCGAGGAGAGGAGGAGACCGGGGAGCGGAGGAGAGCTGGGAGCGGAGGAGAGCGGGGAGAGGAAAGCGAAGGAGAGCGGAGGAGAGCGGGGAGAGGAAAGCGAAGGAGAGCGGAGGAGAGCGGAGGAGAGCGGAGGAGAGCGGAGGAGAGCGGAGGAGAGAGACCGCGGAGGAGAGCGGGGAGAGGAAAGCGGAGGAGAGCGGAGGAAAGCCGAGGAGAGCGGAGGAGAGCGTAGGAGAGCCAAGGAGAGAGACCGCGGAGGAGAGGAGGACAGCGGGGAGCGGAGGAGAGCGGGGAGAGGAGAGCGGGGAGAGGAGCGCGGAGGACAGCAAAGAAAAGCGGAGAAGAGCGGAGAGAGGAGACGGAGGAGAGGAGGAGAGCGGGAAGCGGAGGAGAGCGGGGAGAGGAAAGCGGAGGAGAGCGGAGGAGAGCCGAGGAGAGAGACCGCAGAGGAGAGCGGGGAGAGGAAAGCGGAGGAGAGCCGAGGAGAGAGACCGCGAAGGAGAGCGGGGAGAGGAGAGCGGAGGAGAGCGGAGGAGAGCGGAGGAGAGCGGAGGAGAGAAAGAGTGCAGAAGCGAAGGAGCATCGCCATCGACATCGTCATCATCATCATATCCGCACTGTCATCATGCCACCTTCACCTCCACTGCTCCTCCTCCTCCTCCTTCCTCTCTCTCTACCTCTCCCTTCACCCTTCTCCTCCTCTTCAAGTGGCACCGTCTTCCCCCACATCATGACTGTATCGGGCCGGAATTATAGCTTGCATTCATCATGAGGGTACCTTGTGTTCGGGGTATGACGGGTAATCACTCCTCCACTCCGCCGCCTGCTCCTAGTCTACCCCTCTTCCTCTCTCATTCTCCTCCTCCTCTCTCCTCCTCCTCCTCCTCCTCCTCCTCCTCTCTCGTCCTCCTCATCCGCCTCCTACTTCCTTCTTCTCTCCTACTACTACTCATCATCAATCGTCGTAGACTGTTCACGATGCACTCGTCTCTCTCCTCGTTCTCCTCCCCCTCCCCCTCCCCCTCCCCCTCAATGTCGTTGTACTCCACACCGCCGTGTTGTCAATTGATTTAATAATCATCGAATTAATAATTCATTTGAAATTTCTTATGTCGTGCTCCTTTTCATATCGGATTTTACTGTACGTAACATATACTTCCTCCCCTCTTCACCACCTGCCACGTGGCAGGGGGAGAGACAGGGAGAGCTATAGCCACTTGGCAGGGGGAAGAGAGAGGGAGAGCTGTAGTCACATGGCCGGGGGAGGGAGGAAACAAGAGTATAGCCACGTGCCACATGGCTATAGCTCTCCCTCTCTCTTCCCCTGCCACGTGGCTATAGCTCACCGTCACTCACACCCTGCCACGTGGCAGAGGGAAAGAGGGAAAAACGTTTCATGAGAGGGAGTGTACTGCCACGTGGCAAGAGGAGAAGAGGGAGAGCGTACTGCCACGTGGCAAGAGCAGAAGAGGGAGAGTGTACTGCCACGTGGCAAGACGTGAACAGTTCGGAGAGACAGCTACGTGGCAGTACATGACACGTGGCAAGAAATGAACAGAGGGAGGATATACTCGCGTGGCAAGAGATGAATGTCAAAATCACTCTTTTGTGAAGATGTGAGAGCCACGTGGCAACGAGAACAGCGAGAGGGACAGCCACGTGGCAGAACCATGCCACGTGGCGAAACACGACCAGGGAAAGGATATTGCCACGTGGCAAGAGAGAAATGACAAAATCACTCTCCTTGTTCACGTCTTGCCCACCACGTGGGCATCTCCTCAGCCGGTTATGTCCCGACCCTACCATCTACTGCCGAATACAATGCATCCTCCTCATGACTGTATTTGGCCACGAAAATAGCTTATATACATTCAGGATGAGGGTTGGCTGTGTTCAGGGGAGAACGATAGAGCGAGAGGAGACCGGATCAGCTGATGGTCATTCGTTTCCATTATTTCTCTCCCTTTTTTTTCCTTTCTTTATTTCTATATTTACGTAAGCTGTTTGCATGCATCTGGACTGAAAATTGCGTCAAATACATTCGAACCCGTGGTCTGCTTATATCTGGGATAACGACAGTAATCGAAGGCATGGTGTGTCGATAAACAGCAACACGGTCATTGATAAAGATTGCATGTGAACAAGAATGCCGGTCATATACATTCACGAGGACGGGGCGTTGTGTTCGGGGTACGAAGGGTTAACCACTCCGCTACACTAGCTTCCTCGAACAGAACACCCTGGTCATTCAGTAGGACTGCATGTGGACAGGATTGCCGCTCATATACATTCAGGATGACCGGGCGTTGTTGTTGTTAGGGATAAGAAGGGGTAGGGATTCCCCTAGACTAACAGAACACCTGGTCATTCGGTATGAATGAATCTAGACAGGATTGCCGCTCATATACATTCAGGATGAATGGGCGGTTATGTTGTTCGGGATAAGAAACACCTACCTGGTCATTCGGTAAGACTGAATCTAGACAGGATTGCCGCTCATATACATTCAGGATGACTGGGCGTTGATGTTGTTCGGGATAAGAAACACCTACCTGGTCATTCGGTATGACTGAATCTAGACAGGATTGCCGCTCATATACATTCAGGATGACTGGGCGGTTATGTTGTTCGGGATAAGAAGGGGAAGGAAATCCGCGACACTACTACTCGTCCCCCGAACAGAACACCTGGTCATTCAGAATGACTGAATCTAGACAGGATTGCCGCCCATATACATTCAGGATGACTGGGCGTTGATGTTGTTCGGGATAAGGGGTAGGGATTCCGCTACATCCACTTCTTCATTCATAATGACTGCATCTAGACAGGAATGCCGCTCATATACATTCATAACGACGCCGTTGTGTAGCCGTTCCGCTAGCAGATTACCTTCTTTCCCCCAATAACTGCATCTAGACAGCAGTGGCGCCCATATACATTCATAAAGACGAGACGTTGTGTTCCGGATAAGGGGTATTCAGTCTCCTTCACTTGCCTTCTTCCCCCGAAAAGAACACCTGATCATCCATTACATGACTGAATCTAGACAGGACTGCCGCTCATATACATTCAGGATGACTGGCCGTTGATGTTGTTCGGGGTAATAAGATGGGATAGGCGATCATCCATTACATGACTGAATCTAGACAGGATTGCCGCTCATATACATTCAGGATGACTGGACGTTGATGTTGTTCGGGGTAATAAGAAGGGATAGGCAGGTACAAGGAAAAGAAGGAGCCAGCGCTAATTTCTGGAAAACCCGAAAACAAAAATTCACTAAATTTTCGTTTTTCTTAAGGAAAAAAAAAAACAAAAACGCCATTAGAAATTTCCAGAATAAAAAAAAAAAAAAACGCCATTAGAAATTTCCAGAAAAAAAAAAAAAAACGCCATTTTCCAGAATTATAAAAAAAAAAAAAAAAAACACCATTAGAAATTTCCAGAATTATATTAAAAAATTATTTAAAAAAAAAAAACGCCATTAGAAATTTCCAGAATTAAAAAAAAAAAAAACGGGATTTCAGACAGCCAGCCCAACAGCGACTAACGATTATCCGTTGTCGTTTTCTCACTTCTTTTTCTTTTAATTAGAGGAAATCCTCGATTCGTGCCCGTTAACGCGCCACGATTTTAGGAAATGTACGGGCCATTACAGGAGCGCCCAAATTCATCCGAAAAATATTTTCAAAATCCAGAAAGAAACATATCTTACCGTACCGGTGATTCATTTATCAACAGGCATACACATGTACCGGCTGCGTGAATTTTTTTTCTTGGGGGGAAATGCAGAAGGAAAAATATAGTTCATTATTACTTTCTTTATAAAAAAAAAAAAATCTTTGACAATCATCGCGTTGATTACAGGATGAAGGGGGCTTTCCCTACTTTTTCTCCTCGCATCATTACAATCGTGATTATTAAAAAAAAAGAAAAAAATAATAATGATTATCCAAGGGGGAGGGGGGGGGGGGGGGGGGGGGGGGGGGAGGAGAGGGGGAAGCAATCATCATCATCATCATCAATCATCATCAATCATCATCATCATCATCATCATCATCATCAATCATCGTTATTGTAATCATCATCAATCATCATCATAATTACAATCAATGTAATTGTAATCATCATCATAATTACAATCAATGCCATCATCAGCAGCAGCATCTGAACGTGATGACGACCAGATTCAGTCAACTCAACGATGTCGATAGCGTCCACAACCAGGAGGTCATTTCGCGACTTAATTACCCATACGCAAATAAATTACTTTTTTTGATCTACTTTAAAAATATTTTAATAATCTATATATACTTTTCCCGCCTTTGCGCTCCCGATTCACAGTGTGACAATATATTATTTATACATACAGAAATTATTTATATATATAAATAGACAAGTAATACTACAGCTCTTCAATCAATACTCGAAGAGTACAATTTCGCTATCGTCCCAAAATCCCTACCGTCTTCCTCCGAACACAACGCACCCTCATTTTGACTGTATCGAGCCGGAAACATGCCTTGTATACGTTCACCTTCAGGGTGCGTTATGTTCGAGGGAAGACGGTAGACCCACCTCTTTCCCCGTTCCCTTTGCCTTTGCTTGTTCTCCCCCCTCCCTCCCTCCCTCCCTCCCTCCCTCCTTCCCTTCCCGCCCAACCGACTACCTCCCTCTCTATACCTCCTCCCACGCTCAACCTACCTATCTACCTACCCTCCTCCCTCCTCCCTCTTCCCACTCTCGAATGAAAATTCTGGAAGACTCCAAAAAAACCCTGTTAATTAGGACACTACAAGGCCTTCAAACCCGCGGATGAAAGGCTTCGAATCGACCAAAGAATTCCGCCGCATCACAGAAGAACGGTGCGCCGAAGATAAGGAATGTGAACTTGCTTGGGGCATTCTCCCACCAGTGCCTTTAGACCTGAATCTGGCCGTAATTACGGTCAGATGAGTCCAAGAAAGTTCCAGAGTCAGCTGCTGAATATGCAGCCTCTCACACACACACACACACTCATGCCCTCTCTCTCTCTCTCTCTCTCTCTCTCTCTCTCTCTCTCTCTCTCTCTCTCTCTC